TAAGCAAAACCACCATGTTCATAGTCAGAGATCACTGAAAAAGGACAAAAAGGATGGATGTTTTAATCATGCAGTTCTTTGCATAAAAAAGGAGAATCTTAAAGCACTTGTAATTTGATCATGATCATGAGGTCTTATGAAGTACTAGTTTTATATTAGCTGACAACAAGCTAAGTGAAAAGAACCTGACAAATCTGAAGGAATTATTGTACTTTGTGTTGCCTACATATAACAACATGTCTAATTTATCGCTGATGTTTTCTTTATTTTTCTGCATTTTCTTGAATTTTATTTTGTTTAACCTAAGGGGAAATTTCATTGAGATCTTAACTGTTTAGTAGTTAAATCACATAGTATAGCATAAAGATGCTATCAGTCCTATGGAATATTCTACATAGCTTTCAACACAGATTAAACTTTGTTATATTTATCCGGGATTTGGTCATTACATGTTTGGAAAAAAACTTTTGTGCTACGTTGGTTTCACGTGGATATGTGGCTTTGCTATGAACTTTCAAATCATGAAAATACCACTTATTCTCGAGCAAGTTTCATGATCGAAATAAATGAAGATAATTAAATTAGTGTGCCTCTCTTGTATATCAGTCCTTAATTCTTTTTTTTTTTTTTTCTGTTAGTTTGTCGAGCAATACTAATCGAAACTTGGCTTATGTTGCAGAAATTTTTGGATAGTTCAAAATTGAAGAGGCATTTTTTAATTCATACAGGAGAGAGACACTTTGTATGCCCACATGAAGGCTGTGGTAAGGTGAGTAAACTTGTCTTCTTAGGATAGTTATTTTAGNCCCCCCCCCCCCCCCCCCCCCTCCTTTTTCTGCTATAGGACTGTTTATATGTCTTAACATTATTGACTTATCATTGTTTGGAATTTTCACTGCACATTGCATTTTATTCATCCACTTGTAAATTTGATGCTCCTGTTATCAGTTAGTTGCATTGCATCTTCAATACTAGTTCAAGTCCAATATATTCCTGGAGATACACATATTATGCGAAGATGCTTGCTTGCAAAAAAAGTAAAAAAACAAAGTGATATTGCACTATTGAAAGAATTGTGTCCTTATTTTATTGAGATACAGAGTTTCAAAGGTTCAGTAGAGGTGGATTTTTAATACACTTCCGCCTTGCTTCCTGCTGCCTTCTTCCTCTATTCTGATTTGGTAGTTTTATGTTATGCAGGCATTCTCTCTAGATTTCAATCTAAGGTCACACATGAAAACACACTCACAGGAGAATTATCATAATTGCCCATATCCTGAATGTGGGAAAAGATATACGCACGAGTACAAGCTGAGGAATCATATTGCGTCCCATCATGAGAAGGTTGATACTTCCATCTTTCCCTCCTCTTACATAGTTTTATCTTACTGTGATTAACTTGCATTTGTCTTCCTATTATTTTTATTGTTCTTGTTCTTCACGTTTCTTGGGAATGGCAAGCTTTTTGTTTCCTTAAAAGTAGGATTCCTGCTATTCCATTCGTGTTGAAGGGGGTTGTTTAATTTGATATCTATTTGAAAAAGGGTTCTTATAGGATTTATATTTGTTCACGCATATGAATTTTCTCATAATTGCTGGATATGGTAACTAAATTTCAAGCCTGGCAATGTTTAACAGAACATGGTGGATGCAGTCAAACATACTCCACCCTCGGAAAAGCCAGTGAAAACTCCGAAATCTTCTGGTGGACCTTCTGGGCCTGCATCATCTGACCGCCCTTACGCCTGTCCCTATGCAGGGTGCGAGAAGGCCTACATCCACGAATACAAGCTGAATCTTCATCTAAGAAGAGAGCACCCTGGCCATTTTCCGGATGAAAATGCCAAGAACAACCCACCTAACATCGAAAACGAGATGGATGAATGCAGTGATCAAGATGTATATGTTGGAAAACGAGGCAATGCTAAAGTTCAGAAACAGAGTAGGCCAAAGCCAAATTTAAAACTGCCTCCTTCAAAAGTTCCTCAGCGGAAAAGCTCAGGCGCTTCTCCTGCCAACTTGAATATAATGAAAAAACCTTGGCCCGTCAAAGAGGATGTGTATGATGACGAAGACAGTGAAGAAACAGAAGAGGAACGGGACAATGTTGGAGAAGGGTGGATGTACGTAGAAAACAATGAGGACGACGATGAAGAGACAGAATACGAGGACTAGGCTTTATATGTCTATAGACATTTTCGTGCCTTCGTGCAGGGAAGAGCGGATTTTTTATTTTTTATTTTTAATGAGAAAATTAAGTTATTGAATATTTTACCTTTTCTGACCAAGAGGAAAAAACAACATAATTTCGCTTGAATCTTCTTGTGAAACTTTTTGGAGGAGCTTGTGTACAAGAAGCAAAAATTCTAGTAAACACGTTGAAAAGTAACTTTTTAATTTCAAAAGTAATTTTTGACTTTTTAGAAGTTATGCCAAACGAATCCTAAATCCCGAACTATTACAAAAGCCAATTTTAGGTTGGACCATGCTAGTGGTACATTAAGGATTACATCGGGGTGTACACCCCTCTCACATGGGGGGTGGGGTCCACTCGAATAAAAAATTATTATTTGAGTGGATCCCACCCCCCATGTGAGAGGGGTGTAGACCTTGATGTATAGATCTTGATGTACAAATAGAAATATCCTTTTAGGTTTGGGTGGAAGACTCCTACATAAATAGTCCCTGTTTGGTCCAAATATTTCTCAAAATTCATTATTTCAAAATTCATTTTCAACTATACAATCTTCAAGAAAATGATATTATATGCAAATCTAAAACTTTTTATTTTTATTTTTAACTATATATTTTTGGGTAATTTGCACATGACGTCCACACCTTTCATTGTTATTGTGGAAAACGTTTATACCTTTCATTTTTTGACATTTTCACCCTCATTTTCACATTTCATTGCGCAAAAAGTCATTTTCATTTATTTTTTCAATTAAAAATTGTGAAATAACAAATATGCACCTCTTTAAATAAAACAAAAAGAAAAATAAAAAAATTAATTACAACCATAGTTCCAAAATTTTTTAAAAAGCACAAATCAATCTCAAATAAATTATTAAAAGGGTAATTAGTACATAATGTCTCTACCTTTCACCATTATTGCGTAAAAGGTCCATACATTTCATTTTTTTTTTTTTGGCATTTTCATCATTAATTACACATTTGATTGTGCAAACCATCATTCTCATCCGATTTCTCAATAAAGAACTATGAAATAATGAATATACTTTCATATTTAAATAAAAATATTTTTTTTAATTTCTAATTCTTTAATAATTTATTTGGGACTCGTTTGCGCTTTTTAATTTTTTTAAAATTGTTTTAATTTTAAAATAAATTTAATTGGGACTTGTTTGCACTTTTTTTAATAAAATATAATTTTTTTTATTAATTTATTGAGGACCCGTTTACAATTTTTAAAAAAATTGGGACTATGATTACAATTAATTGTTTAGCTTTTTATTTAAATGAGAGGGTATATTTGTCATTTTACTGTTTTTTATTTAGAAATTGGATGAAAATTGATAGAAATGATGATTTGCGTAATCAAATGTATAATTAAGGGTGAAAATACCAAAAACAATAAAAGGTAGGGATTTTTTTGCAACAATAGGGAAAATATATGGACATTATATGCTAATTACCCTTTTAATAATTCATTTGGAACTCATTTGGCCTCTTTAAAAAAAAATTGGACTATGGAATTTTTTTTCTTTTTTCATTTTGTTTTATTTAAAAAGAAAGGTGTATTAGTCATTTTACGATTTTTAATTGAGAAAATGAATAAAAATGATCTTTTGTGCAATGAAATATGAAAATAAATGTGAAAATACCAAAAAATGAAAGATAATGACGTTTTCCATAATAATAGTGAAATGTGAAGACGTTATGCGCTAATTACCCATATATTTTTCATCACATCACATCATAAATTACATCATTTTCTCAATAATATGCATCAAACACCCCCATAATATAAGATTATAAAAAGCTTTAAAGCATTATTTTTTTCAGGAATTCAGGTGAGCACGAGCGAATCTAGGTGAGCCTAGACAGCAACTCGAGCAATTGTCATTGATAAGGACAAAAAAATAAAATTCGATGGAGCCAGCACAAGCGACTACAGAGCTAGTTGATGCTGGTTTCGCCCCTTGTTATAATTGACATTTCAGACATAAAATTGACCATTTTCCTAATTTCTCTGAAAAAAATTAACATTTTTTTTTTCTTTAACTAGAAAAGGGACCGGCAGGCGATCCCCCTACATACAAATACAATTTTAGCATTGCCGACTCAACTTGGAACATGTGGGGTTATTTTCAAGAGTAACGTTAATCATATATCATTGCGTATATGCTGATAATGTGGATTATATTAACGGATTTTCTTTTTTCTAATTCTCTCTTTTTTCTCTCTTTTTCACGTCATCAATTTGTGCATCAATCTTTACATAATAATGTGCAAATATCATCACTTTATTTTTAAAATTTCCATTAAAATCCTTTAATCCCCATTTCCACTATAAATTAAGCAGCATTAAAAGCAAAATAAAGCTGTCATGGTATTTAAGGGAAATGGATTGTTGATTTTCATAAAAATCACATACACTGCATGGAATTGGCATCTACTTTTTTCAAAGCAAGCATTTAAATAGCAGTAATTAGCAGCTATAAATATGAATACTTTTGATGACAATTTTTAAAAGTTTTTCTAATAATACAAAAACGGCAAGCCAATGAGAACGGAGCCAAATGCGTGACTTTTGAATAGACGCATTCTTACCGCTCTCTCTAAATATGACAAACATCTTCCTTCCTTGTTGCGAAACCCCATTAATTGTGTGATTTATTACTTCCTTTTCCAAAGATTAAACGTGTACCTCTCTCTCTATATGTATATGTATCTATATCTTTTACAGAACAGACAGACAGACAGCAGTCGTAGGTTTTATGTTTAATCCAAGAGACTGAAGATTCAGCAAGCGATCTATGGAAATGGATTTGCGGGTTTTTGTTTTGATTCTTAACGTAAAACATTTCGATGTTCTGTTCTACTTGATTTCTCTGGCTTGTCTGCTGTTACCAACCTGTGAGTAAATTTTTTCTATGAGATTTTGAAATTATTCAAGATTTGTTATGATGTGAATTTCAGCTGTAATGCAGATGGTTATGATTCATTGGATCCTAATGGGAACATCACAATTAAATGGGATGTCTTGCAAGCAAATGGTGGCACAGAGGATGTAAGTTTTTTAATTGAAAAAATCATTAAAAAAAGAAAAAGAAAAGATCAATCAGTTTTTGAGGGGACGCTTGTTCTAACCGCGGTGTCCGATGGATTTTACGGGACTAGATTTAAAGTTCTTTAACCTTTTAGTGATGCGTTTTAGCGATATCAAATACAATTCAATTCAACGTATCAAATATACAGAGATGAAAGATTTTCTGAGTAATTAATCTTGTCTAAACTAATTGTTAAATTCTTACATCTTTTACCTATTGCGAAACAACGATGACATCAATTAGCGAATCACGAGCCTTCCGGGGGAATTGAGGTTAACCAATTAGGTGGAGTAGTCTAATTTCATATAAGCCCATAATTTATGTGAGACTTTGTTTGCGTTTTTTCAACAATTCTCATTTGAACGAAGTATCATGTCATCACGATCCCCCTTCAGGAGATAAAAATATCCATTCCTCTTCCTCGAATTAGGTAGGAGTACATGCTCTATCAAGACCCAACTAATTATCGTCTTACATGAGCACAACTGCCTTAAGAGCCAATCCTAGATTTTCTAGCCATCAAGAACTTAGGGCTCTCAAACTTTGTTCGATTGCAATTGGTGATCCATCTTGTGCGTTCACAAGGTGAAGTTTGGGGCCTAGCTCTGATTCCATCCCAAAACATTAACTCATTAGGAAGAGTAGCCGAATGCTTTGTAAACCCATCATTTACACCATGTCTGACTGACGTGGGTCTTTTGTTTGCACTACTAAACTTTGATAGCATATTGGACAAGATTGACTGTATAACATTGACAATATTAAGAAATTAAAAGAAGTTCGAGTTCAATACGATCTTCATTCACAAATTAAGCATGTCCTTTTCCAGGTAACGGTATCCATCATAAACTACCAGCTATTCCGGCACATAGAGTATCCCGGTTGGAAGCTAAGCTGGGCATGGCCAGGCAACGAGGTAATCTGGAATATAGTGGGAGCAGAAGCCACTGAACAGGGAAATTGTTCGGCATTCGGAGGAGGAAAACTTCCCCATTGCTGTGAAAAGGAACCAGTTATAATAGACCTTTTGCCTGGAACCCCATACAATAAGCAGGTTGCAAATTGCTGCAAAGGTGGAGTAGTTTCATCCATGACTCAAGACCCCGAAAAATATATCTCTGCTTTTCAGATGAATGTCGGAAGTTCTGATACAAAAGGTTCTGGCCCCGGAATTCCTGTAAATTTCACTCTTGGACTTCAGGGATATACCTGTGGAGAACCATTTCAAGTCCCTCCAACTAAATTTTCCGAAGATCAAGGACGTAGAAGGACACAAGCACTTGGTAAGTCCAGATATTCACTACGTAGTTTGTATGGTAAAACGTATTGTACAACACTGAATAGTCTTTTTTATATGCATGTGGATTTATTGCAGCTACTTGGAATGTGACGTGTTCTTATTCCCAGTTTAGAGCTTCTGCAGCGCCAACATGCTGTGTTTCGTTCTCAGCATTCTACAATGATACCATAATTCCATGCCAAGACTGCAGCTGTGCTTGCCAAACTGGTGCAAAATGTGTAAAGTAAGTTTCAAAGTTGATGAAAAAAATGAAATTGTTTAAGCTTAGTTATACTGTATCTCTCCATTTTTCTTATTAAATTGTCTGTGGTCATAGGGCTGGGGATCTACCACCAGTATTGCAGCTACAGCACAATGAACCACCACAACCATTGTTGCAATGTAGTGACGATATGTGCCCTATAAGAGTGCACTGGCATGTGATGCAAAGTTACAGAGAGTACTGGAGGGTCAAAATTACAGTGACAAATCTAAACTATGTCAAGAATTACAGTCAGTGGAACTTGGTGGTTTTACACCCTAATCTCCAAAGCGTTACACGGGTTTTCAGTTTCAACTATAAGCCCCTCAACCAATATGGCAATATAAGTAAGTTTGTTTTCGTTTGTACTAATATCCTCGCTCAACGTCAATTATGCGTTAATATCAATAACACTTTGTATCTTCAGATGATACTGGAATGTTTTATGGGATTCAGCATTATAATGACATGCTGCTCCAGGCAGGAGTAAATGGAAATGTACAGACAGAAATGCTACTGCACAAAGATCCAGGGATTTTCAGTTTTAGAGAAGGGTGGGCATTTCCCAGAAAGATATCATTCAATGGTGGACAATGTGTATTGCCCTCACCTCAAGATTACCCTAGGCTTCCAAATGCTGCACAGTCTAATGCACCAGCAGCCTCCTGTATAATTCTTTCATTGTTGCTACTGCTAGTTACTGTAATGTTATGAACTTTTTCCTTCAAACATTTATAGAAGATGATCCTCATTACAATAGATTGCAAATGAGTATTACTTTGCTTGCCATATTGATTTGGCACCACGGGGTAACATTTTTCCGTCTCTGATTCATTTTACCAGTTAGACTGTCATATCAACTTTTTTGTAGTCCAAGTGACGGATGTACACCCAATTGTACGAAAATTTAAATTCAGTGTCTCAACTATAATTAACTCCATAAGTGAAGTGACCAACTTTAGAATTTGCCAAAACTTACGTATGCCCGTCCCCCGTCCGTACATTACCCAAATATCCATCAGAACATTGAAAATTCCACTGTTAAAAAAACATTTGTTCCATTGAATGATTATAAGAACACGTTCATCAGTAAATACTCGAGAAATCAACAGTTTGAGAATCAATAAAGCATGAAATTGTTGACAAGCAATGACGAACTTATCACTTGAAATACAATCGTGTCTGGAGAACCACCTCAGGAGAGTCGCCCGCCAGAAATACCATTTCTGTCACAGACTACCAGGTGCACATGGAGACACTAATTTATCGAAAAAAATGACTTAAGCAAAACCAATAGAAAGAAAATAAAGGCAGAGAGAAAACAAACAAAGCAGGATGGGGTAGAGCACAAGCACTGGACGAGTCTGGCTTGATCCCACCAAACAAGGGAAACTCAATTGAGGAATCAGTGAGGGCTCAGTTGAAGCTCAGCTATATACTCAAATGTAAAGTTGGCCAGAAACCTCATTGCTGCCACAATTTGCTTCCTTGTGTTTCAGTGAAAGATTAGCAAATTGTTGATCAAGATCATAGCTTTTGGCATGTCGATGGCTAGAAGATGGTTGCTGCTGTTGTGGCTGCTGCTGTTGCTGATATAAAGCTCGTAGTCTTCCCAATTCTCTCTCCAATACTTCGTGCTCAACTGCACATAGCACCACAGTCACTACTGAAGATTCTTACAATTATGCAATTTATATTTGCGCACAAAGGGCATCTATGAGTCTTGTTATTTTCTCACAAGAACTCTGTTTTTTTCCCTCCAAGGGTTGCTTAACGAAAATGCTAGCACCAAATCACGGACTAGTTCAAATGGATAACATATTTTAATAAAATTAAGATGTGTCGTATAATGTTGGAAACGATTTCTAACTACTAAAAACAAAGCATCAGTCACCACAACTACCAAGAAGATTAAGCGACAGGATAAAAACTTACAGTGCTTGATTAGATGCTCTTGAGCTAAACTTTCTAACCTTTGCTTCAGAGTTTTATTCTCCATATTCAAAATGAGATTCTGCTGGTTAAGAAATTCGAGCTCAGCAGAAACTTCAGAGCCTTCTGCCTGCAATTATGGACAACAGAGTGATATCAACAGCTTCAAAAAGTATGTAAGGAAGCAATACAAAATTAAATAAAGTTCCATCTCATAAAGTCTCAAGCAAAGTGACACTAGCCTGTAGAGCTTGCACATTTCTTTCAAGTTCAGCGATGTATTGAAGTTTCCTGACCCGTGAACGTTGAGCAAATTGCCTGCATTAGATAGAAAGTTCAAGCTTAATGAACAATAAATTATCAATCAAAATTTGTAGTTCCAAAATCAGATGTGATTAAGAAAGTTGTAAAATGTCATGAACAGACAAAACACATTAGCACAAGTTCTTGTGATGCAGTGTGAAAGGGGACTTGTTTGGCTTTGAATTCTGAAATTTTCAATTATATCCACACATTTGAACCGAGTAACTATGTTTCCTCAAAACTGAAACACATAAGATGATGAGAATAGGCAAACAGTGGTTGGACACACAAGGAAACAGGCTAAGCCCCTGTTTGAGACACATTATTTTTTTCATTCTCATTCTTCTACTCATTTTCAACTACACATTCTTCAATAAAATAATATTTTTCATCACATCAATAACTTTTATTTCTTTTTCAACCACATATTCCCCATCACATCACTTCAAAAAAATAAATTCTCTCATTTTAATGTGCACCAAACATGCTCTAAAACAACTAAGAGTTGGAGGCTAAAGGATTATGAAACTCAAAATCTCAATTATTTTTTCATTCTCATTTTTCTACTCATTTTCAACTACACATTCTTCAATAAAATAATATTTTTCATCACATCAATAACTTTTATTTCTTTTTCAACCACATATTCCCCATCACATCACTTCAAAAAAATAAATTCTCTCATTTTAATGTGCACCAAACATGCTCTAAAACAACTAAGAGTTGGAGGCTAAAGGATTATGAAACTCAAAATCTCAATTACTATAATTTATTGGGTAAAGGATTCAGACATAAAGATCATCCATACATTTGGACTGGGTAACTCTAGTATGATTTCCTCACGAAACAAAAACACGCGACAATGGGCAAACAGCTGCTACACAGAAAATATGAGAGAAGATGTGAAAATCAAAAGAACCGGATCATTGTTATTTAGTGGGTAAAGGGTCGAATCCACATACTGTTTGGCATGTTTAGTGTCCATCTCCGAAGTAGAATGCTTGGCATGAAATGAGTCCTTTTCAGAAGAACCTTTTGGGTCATGAGGGCCATATTCACCAGGATCCTGCTTTTCAGTAGGTGAAGATGGACTCCTCTCTGCTTCTCTTGAAGTACTTGATGATCCTGCATTTTGAATAATGGTATTATCCCCAGGAGAAGGAAGTCCACGAGGAGGTGCAACTGAATTCGTAGGCATATCCCATGTCCAATTTTTGGTTTTGCATGAAGAATTTGGCCCCCCATAAGAAGAACCATGATGTACATCTCTATACAATTCAAAATCTTGAGAACCCCATGAAGGCAACGAGGTTAAATTTTTGAACTTGAAATTATCTGGAGCAACATAATTTGTGTTTCCAACATTCACGGTGTCAATATATGTAAACGAATCACTAGATGAGCGCCGATGACCTCTGCGCACAGGAGTTTCTGGCTCATTGAGGAGTTCATCAAACCAAGAAGGTTGTTCCTCTATTAAAAAACTCTCGGAGGAAGTACGTTGATGGTGTGAATTTGCCTCTCTAGGCTTTGAAAGACCTTTTGGTCCAACCCCATAACTAGGGACATAATCAACATATGACGAATATATGCTAGGAAATGGACTTTTTGGAGGCAGTAACGAATTATTTCCACTGTACGCCATATTTTTGAAGCTAGATGGTCACTTGGAAGTTGCCATGGCAAAGAAGACCAGGTCCTGTCACAAATATTAACAATATCAATGTCAGAAAATTACTAATGAAAGTAATCATTCATATATTGGATCCTAAAAGAAACATTCTCAACTACAATTCTCAAGTTTATCCAAGAAGAAATAAAATAAGACAGCATCAAGGAAACAAAACAACCCAACATCATAGCCATTGCATGTCAATTACCAGTTACGAACAAAAGTTGAAATTCTGGAGAAACCATAAATTCCAAAAACGACTATAAAACATCAACACGTATTATTGCCGACCCATCTAAAGGCACGCAGTAAAGCTTACACTTTCAATGAGCACCAATCTTCCAACTCAATCACATTATTAACATTCAAAGGAACATTCAATTAACTGAAGGCACAAAGACTACCCAAGCATGAGGTGATTATGGAATTTGCCGTGCAGCATATTACTATAGGAAGTTCATAAATTCTAGCATGCAACTCCAACACAATATCACCACTGTTTTTTGGCACTACAGTGTCAATCTCCATTTACAAAACAACGTTTTCCTATTCAAATCTCATGCTTCATAAAATTTACTAATTAATACCCATAAAATTTCAAAAATCCAATCTTTACGTCACCCACATTTTCTCATAACCCATAAACATCACTCCACTCTAAATTAAATTAACCCAATAGAATTAAATGTAATGCAAACCTTGAAATAATGGCGAATAAAGATCTTGGCAATGCGATATAAAGAAAACCCACAAAAAAAGGAATCAAAGCTTAATCAAATTCCATTCTTTTAGGGTTTCTTCTTCGGCAAAAGTCCCCTTTCCCTTTTATTTGTTTGGCTTCCTCCAGGATGTTTCTTTCTCTCTCTACTTTACTTACATATGATATATATGTAGATTGTCCTGGATTGAGTATTTTTGACAGCCAAATATGAGATGTTTTTATTGTCTGTATTTTGCAATTTTCAACCTAAAGATCACTTTGCAGACAGAATTCTCTCACACGGTGAATCTAATGCCAACGTATATTACTGATTGTGAAAATTATATTCATTTTGATAATCTTTTTCTGCATTAATATGGCTAAATGTTGTCCAGTTGTCTCTATCTACCAAGTGGAGCTCAAACTCCATAATTTAAGCAAACATGGTTCGAATATTATCTTTATAATCAATTGTTTGTTGTGCATCTTAAGCTAACATTTTATCACACAACCCACAAGCCAAGAATCATTAGCGGATATAAGTTTTATACCATATTTTATCGCGTAAATGCTTGTGTGAATGATTTTTCAGAGAATGCACAGTCAAAAAAATAGAGAAAATTATGAAAAAATCGGAAAAATGATCAGCGAGTGAAAAGTGATTCTCAAAAAACTACTTTCAAATAAGGGCTAAATAATCTATAGAAGTTACACAAAAGATAAAAAGTACAAGTTGACGATAAAAACAAGATTGATTGGAACTGCTTTAAACCATATAAAATTATATTAAATCTTGATATTAGTCACAACTTAACAAATGTATCTTTACTTTTATATTATCTTTCAAAGCAAATAATATATAAATAGGTGCAAGATCTATTAATTCAATAGGGATCGTGCCAGCCCGTAGTTGACCTAGTCATCCCAAGGGGGACCGCGATAGCACCTAGAATCCCTACCCTACCACATATTAACCAACCAAACAATGTCTTGGATTTACATTTGACTATGGTAGTATGACCATTGACATTTTTGATCCAGTAAACTCACTGTTCCATTTATACTAATTAATCGGTTCAAAAAAAGCAATTTATAGAGAGTATCACTAATTAGTTCCAGGAAATGTGTGAATTATAAATGTATGATTGAGATTAATGTTTGACTTTACTGAATTTTATAAATTATTTGTGAATTAGTTGCTAACCCAATTGTGGAGTGGATTGGAGTGGGTTGACAGTATGTTTACAGCTCACTATTTAATGCATCATGTGGACCTTTCCAAATCTTTAGGGTACTTAATTTGGCATTCATATTAAAAATCAATAAAGTCACTATTCTATTACTTATCAAACTTTGGAGAATTTGAAGTTAAGATGAGATAACATTTGAATTCTTACAATCGACAAACACACATTTTGTTGTTAACAAAAACGAACACGAGGATTGTAATGATATTCAATCAAGAGCATCGAAGCACCAGTGATCTTTACAGTACACATAGTAGGTTGTCGAACCCCACCTTAAGCATTATTATGCTTAGGGGGTAGTTATTAGATTCTATATATGAAGCATGTGCTTTGTTCTTAGTTCATGGCTTCAAATTCCTTATATGCTACCAAGCTGTGAAGTGGTCCAATCTTTTTGCAAGCCTAGAACAGCAAAATGAACCTATTATTCTTCGAGACAAACTGGTAAAAGCTTTTGTACCCTCAAAATTTTGAGGTCTTAGATGGCAAACAATTATGAGACCCTTAAATAATTTTTTTTTCCAAGGTAGCTATCTCTTTAGCATTAATTATGACCATTTCTAATTCAATTTCTTTATAACTTTTGAAAAATAAATAACTTATTTTTAACTTTCATAAGGATTGATTTATAAGTTTTAAAGAAACTTTACAAGCAACAAAAAATTATAGAATTATGTTGTTTTGCGAATTTAACACTTTGGTTGACAAGGAAGTCGTGGCAAAAAATAATTGGATAACAGTGTTGATTGTTTTTAAAATAGTCAAATGATTAATGACATGTGTCATTCTGTAATCCAAAGTGTTAAAATCCCCCGGCAATGCAGCAAGATTGAAAATTATATGGGATATTTCTTTTATTTTTATGTTATATTTTTGCATTGGTTTTTTTTTTATATTTTTTCCAGATTTTGATAAATGGCAAAACATAACAAAATATAGTACTATGTAATATATTAATTGTAGGTCCATTTTACTCCTTAAACCAATATGTGAGAGCTGTTTGTGGGAGAGACCATTGTCAACCAAATATCATGAAACAATTTATGCACAATACTCATTTCAAGCACTTCCTCTTCTAACTTTTGTTCCCTTCAGACCCACCAAACTCATCCTCGTGAACGATGAAGAATTCATTGGATATGGATGTCTTCAGCTTTTTAATTTTTGAAAGAAATTAAATTAGAGTAATAAGAAATACTTTTGAAGTTTACGGAATTGTTTTACTTTTGAATTATAATGAGGATCATAATAAAATTGATTTTAAAAAGTACATTTTCTTTTTACTCTCAAGTCTCCAGAAATAAATAGATTAATACAACTTTGGCTTAAGCAATAAAAATAATTTATTAATCAAAAAAGAAAAAAGCACAAAAAAGAAATAAAAAATTCCTTGGGCCATTTATTAAGTGTCCAAGTGTTTTGGATCTCTTATTTAACGTATCGAGTTGTTTGATTTTGAATTTTTAAAATGTGGAAATTACATTGACCCTGAATTGTGGAGATTACATTTCAAATATCATGGATTATATATATATTTTTTTTTATCAAAAGTCAGATGTTTATATATATATTCCAAATTTAAGCATCAAAACGGGATAGAGAATATCATACATATCCATAATTAACTCCCTCATTACATGAAAGCTAAAGAACCCTTCCATGTTAAACCTACAGTACGCCATAAAATCTATGATCGTCTTCTCCATAAACTGAATAGTGTAGTAAAATCAATCCTCCATTTTTATCACATTGTGACCTCGACGTACTCATCACACGATTTTCATAATCGCTCATAGCTTCATTCCAAAAATACTAGACCTTAAAAAATGTTTTTAACAAGGGGCAATGATCCCAAAGTTGATCGAAGATTGATGAGAAATCTAGAAGAAAAGGCACGAAAGGGATTAACGATTAGATGCTGAAACCAGTCACAGAAACACCCCCCCCCCCCCNAACCCCAATCGTGAAATCCTAGTGTTCAAAAGGTAAATCAATTGTTTATCTGATTTAGTTAAAAGGGAAATTCGTATTTAACATTTGTAGGGTGTATATGGCTTGGGTAGTCACACATTTTTAGAATCTGTGATCTCATTTAAAAAAAAAATTGATTCGAGATATTCTGACCTACATTTGGTTGAGGCAATCTCAATTTTCCGAGAATGAAGATACGTATTTTTAGAACATTTTCGTGTCTTTTGTGACCAGCCTTCTTTGTGTGATTTCTACTCTGACTATGACCAATTTCCTAATTAGAAACGCATTTCTACTACTATTATGTGACCCATTATATGTTTGTGATTAGTCTATAATTTTATGATGAATCATGTTGTTATAATATGCATATCTTTGTATATAATATGTGACCTTAGTTATATGTGACTTGAGTAGAGTACGTGATAAAATAATTGCACGTGACTAGCTTATTTTGTGACATAAATGCATGTACAAATATCAAATGTATGTTTGTTACTTTTGTCATCTATTGTAGGCATGAGGGTATATTATATCAGAAGTTTTATGGTTTCTAGGTAAAATTCCCACCAATGCAACCAAAAACGTGTTGTCGAATTTTACGGCAAAGTTCAACGATGAACCAAAAACAAATACTAGATGATACATGCTTCTCCTACTATTACGTGGATTGTAATGAGATAGTTGTTCAACCTCAATCGATATATTATTTTCTACTGCGGAAGGTTGAGTAATCGAACAAGAAAAAGATGTGGTTTACGGTGGTTGGTAGATATTTACGATTTTCTTTGCTTGAGTTCTGTCTGGTTACGGGACTTAGATACCAAGAACAAGACGTAAGGGAAAGTCTTCAAAATTCACATTCCAGGATTAAGGAGAAATATGTTAGAGACATCTTCCTTGGTTTAACGAATGAAGACGGTCATGATGTCGTGAGGATTGAGATTCTTTATTTGATAACATCATACGTTTTCTCAATCTCATACAAGAAGGTTGTTAAGCATTATTTGTCTGCTCTTGTTAAAAACTTTGATACTATGGATATGTTTTTGTGGACAAAAGATTTGTTTGAACTTTCTATAAACTCATTGAAAGATGAATTGGGTAATAGAAATCATCATTACATACTCAAAGGATTTCTAGTTGCCTTTCAAATTTAGATTTATGAGTCTATTCCAGGGCTAGATAGAACTGTTACTTCTGGGATGGGGAGGAGATACCCACGTATCCTGAATTGGAGATCATATAAACTGTCGTATAGTGTTAAACTTAAAGAAAAGGTGTTCTATGCCCCAGATGTAAGTTTTCAATTCATTTGTGTATTACTTAAATAAGTCACAAGTCAGTCACAGTTCACCTTAGAGAGTCACAAGTCACATTATGCAGTCAAAGGAAAAAAAATCACATTTACCTTTTCACATGTCGTAGAAAATAGTTTTCATGCACAGGTAACGGTTCTCGTTATGAGGTTACAGTTCACTACTTTATGCAGTCACAATATACATTCTGCAATTAGTATACAAATTTTGCTGACAAGTATATTTAACGTATGGATTATGAATTTTTCCCTTTTAAAAGAATAGAGGACCCAACTCAAAAAAATAAATGAAAATTTTTGTTGGATGAATATTTTTTTAAGCCTCAGGCCATTGCCCAGGTTGCCTTGGACCAAAGCCTGGCCTACGTTTAACCGAACTTTCAGAAAGTCAAAAACTATTTATAAAACTAAGAAATCGAAACATGCTTGAATAAATCTTTCGGAGATACTTTGTCTATAAATTTTTTTTTAAAGAAACTGATCCAAGGTATCAAGCTTTCTACAAGAAGTAGATGTAGAAGCAAAAGCAAATGCAGGAGTCCTGCCGGACCATAATTCCAATTTAACAAGTCAAATTTACCTGTTACCCACAAATTCTTGGAAGATGACAAGAAATGTGTAGCCTCTCACTCCCACCCCTTCTTCAAAAGCCATCTCCATATGCAGTACCATGTTTCTGAAACATATTTCATGCATCTATGATACTATGAACAATCTTCTAAAAACAAAAGCAAAACAATAAATTTGTGAACAGTGTCCGAGTTTTTTTGACATGTATAAGAGGTTTCAGCCTTTCAGGGGACTTCACGACCCAAGAAGCTTCTTCCACTAGTCATATCCAAGAAGAACTAAAAATAATAAAACACAAGCAGCAGTCATAATTCCAATAATAAGGCCAAATATCCCATGAATGTGGTACAATGTGCGGTGGATGTTCAAACCAAATATCCCAGCCATCATAATCTCAACAGTCATAACCAACGATGCAATTGTCGATGTCAACTGCTGTTTAACAAGCTCATTCCGCTGATCGTTGAGTCGGAGTCTAACATAATCTTCCATATGAAAATCATTAAATCTTGTTACAAGAAGGTTTCTTTCCTTAGGTTACCCTTCATTATTCAATTGAAATCAATCATATCACAATCTCTAATTACATTTGGCAAATCATCATAATCACAACCACAATTCCACCTCATTGCTGGTAACATGCTTGATATAGTGTAGTGGGCATGGACAAAGATTAAAATTAAAGACATAAAAAGCCCTCAATTCTTCTTTTATTGATCTTAACCAGTCCTATGCAGTCTAACATCCAACATGAGAAATCCAAATTCAAAACAGGCTATACAATTTGCATTTGCACAAAGTGATCCAAGATAATGAACAGAGTTTTCACTTCACATTTGCAGCAAAAAATTCAAGGAAAAGCAGTACTGAAAATTACAGTTGGAGCAAAACTCAACCTGAAGTTCAATCCAAAAGAGTCGACTTGGAATGAGTGGTCTTCAAGCTAAACTGCTGCCTTACATCCACCTTCCGCTCATTCAATGCAGGTGCGATTTCTTTGACAGAACTTCTTATCCCAATTACGACACCAGTTGGCAGAAACCTCATTGTTGGAACCACATATAGGCACCAGCCAGCACAATAAAATTCTTAAAACTGCTGCATAAGCATTCACGCATTGAAAACTGACATCATGCAATTTCAGCTTTTGGAATGCTCTGCAATTTGCAGACTGGAAAGGTAGGAATAAGCAATCCTCGGAGCAGAGAACCTTCAACAAAGTGGACCTATTTCTGAAATACTCAAAATTTTCCCCAAAAGACCAAATGTACATTCTGGAGAGAATAGCTTTCCTGAAAGTGTTAATGAAAATCATACAATGGCAAAGGCACCAATGTAGCAGGTTCTACAACATAGCTAGCTCCGAAACTGGTTGTTTCTGTTAATGTCATAGAATTGTACCATCAGCAATCTTGCACTGTAACACTAGAAGCAGACATTTCTACACATCTAGCTGGGAATCAGTAACCTACAAAAAGAGGGAATGCTAATCCTGTAAATAGATATACATAATTCAAAATAATCACACAAGATAAACTATCACTAACGACAATAATAAGAAACAAATTGTTCTTAATTAATATTTGATGTCATGATTCTATTTCTACAAATAATCAAATGCTGTACATCACCTCGTTGAATTTGTAAATTCCAGCAAACCACTTGCACCAATCATTAGCATCCTGATAAATGTTGTACGTGATGTCAGGCCAAACATCATAACCAATCAGTGGTGAGGGCATACTACAGAATTAGCCATATAAAGTGGAAAATGCTGCATATAAATGAGATAAATATTTAAAGAATCACAATTGCTTAGGCAATGCTCCTACCTATCTCCACAAAATAAACCCATCACTCAGGAACTGAGAAGATCAAGCATCCGTTGTCCCAGCGCACTCTGATCTCTCTTCCTACTTGAAGTCTCTTCTCTCTAATGATTTTGCCCCACTTGCCAATAAGATTATAGTAACTCCTGCGCCATTTCAACTTCATCGCATATAGATCACCTGTGTCATCATCCCGAGCATTAATGCGAATTTGATGTTCATTCCTCAACTGTTCCCGAGCTTGCTGTGACCAGTAGAAAAGTATGTGATCTTCAACTGCTTTTCCTGGCAAAGTAAGGAATGGATGATTAGTATCCACATCAGACAATGTGAGCGCTTTCTTGATAGGCCAATTATCATGTCCAGAAGCTGTTGGGACATACTGCTCCACTAGAACTGAGAAGTACAAGCAATTATTTGCCCAGCGCAATCTGATTTCTTGACCAATGCCAAGTCCCTTCTGTCGAATGATATTTGCCCAGCCCCCAATGAGATTATAGTAATTACCTCGCCATTTCAATTTCATTACATGAATTTCACCTGTATCATAATCTCGTGCATTTATTGACACCTGCTCTTCCTTTCTCAATTCTTCTCTTTCTTGTGGCACCCAATGCACAAGAATATGATCTTCCACGGATCTACGAGGCAATGGGAGAAAAGGATGATTAGTATCAACATCTGAGGATGTCAGGACCTTTTTTATAGGCCAGTGGTCCTGCACTAAGGGGGCCGCAACCGTTCGAGTTGGGGGAACTGCAATAACCTGCTGTTCTGGAACAGAAAAGTGTAAGCATCCATTAAACCACCTTAGCTTAATTTCTTGCCCAACATCAAGTCCCTTTCCTCGTACCACTTTTCCCCATTTGCCAATGAGATTATAATAGCTCCCGCGCCACTTCAATTTCATCACATACACATCACCAGTATCATCATCTTGGGCATTAAAGCCCACTTGGCCATTGGTACTTAGATCTTCCTGCTGTTGAGGTGTCATATACACAAGAATATGAGTTTCAATTTGTTGCCGGGACAATGTCAAGAACGGATGAGTAATGTCAACATCAGAGAGGGTGAGTGCTTTCTTAATAGGCCACTGATCCTGCATCTGAGCAGCATCATTGTAATACGTTGTCCTCTTCATTCCTAATTCCACAAAATAAGAACCACAAGATTTACTAAATCTAAATGACAATATCACTTGTACTGAACAAGACGAGGAAATTTATTTTTAAAATAGGCAACTCAATGTACGTATCAGGGATACCAGTGGTGGTTACAAGTTCAATGAATCCATGCAATCAACCACATAGCAGTCATGCTCCATGTGTGGCTCATAACATCCCATGTGAAGACCATAATATTGAACAGATTGCGTGTGGTGTCCTTCACCCAACATACTACTTGAGCAGACAAATTTCACCAACTTCTTCATGAGAAACATGTATCTGGTCAAACTCCTAAATAAATCAACCATAATTACTTTTCTTGTTCTTTCTATTAAATTTTTGCCTTGAGCAAATTTCGAACACTCTCTTCAACTTAAACATGCTAAGGCAATCCAACTAAATTAGGAAAGAGTAAAACCCCCAAATTAATATCAGTTAGGTAAAAATGGAAACCACAAGTCAGACAGCAGATGCCGGCAGACTCCTTAGTCAGTAGGACTAAAGCACTCGCACTTCCACCTTATGATCGTCCATCTGGTAAGGAAATTATCGATATTTTCCATCAATTAAATAATAAACATCCCAATTTAGAAGAACAATCGTTTCCCATTATTAATAAATCGTATATCCCAACACATAAACCAAAACCCTAGAAAATCACCGTCAAATAAGCACAAAAAAGGAAATACATGAAGCAAATTAAATACGTATGTACATATTATTCTAATCTACATTCGTTCGAATCAAAAAAATTGTCATTTCACCGATTATCTTAAAAGGGCATCATTGTAAACTACTACATACTGCATAGTCTAAGTAAAAAAGGAAAATAAAATAAAAAGTATAACAAAAAGAAGGAAGAATTTTCTTACTTTGTATGCAGAGATCAAATTTTCTACTTGATCTTGATGATTGAGAAAGAGGCGCCGGATCCTTGTCCTTGGGATTATATTAGTTTTTACTAAAAAGGAGTGGCACACTGCATATATAAACTTTTGATGGTTCGCGTGGTATCTATATATTGTTGGGGGCGAATTATGTGAAAATGGCGAAGTGAGGAAAAGAAATGAAGTAATTATATACTTTATTCTAGAGTCTATTTCAATTTTGTACAATCGAATAATTATAATTTAATTCGATTCGATTGCTCAATCTAATAAGTTTAATTTAATCCAATTTTAGTCGATAATTCTATCTAATTCTTTCATCTAAACGGACAAAAATCAATGAAATGATAGTCGATAAATAAAATCCGTCACTTATTTAATTAAAGATGTGAGATTACATGTACCAAAATGCTTTGCTAACGAGGACGAGTCTTCAGGTACCATACAATTACAAGTAGTAACACTAACCAAACACGAAAAACAGAGTCGGGGAGTGGGGGGACGAATAAGAAAAGCTAAGATCCCGATAGAGGGATAGGCTTCACCGCGCTTTTTATTCGCCGGAATGCCATCTTAACTCGTTCCTTAAGACCACTGTTCTCGCTTTCGACCTCGCCACTTTCTTTGTCTAGTTGAGCTACATTCCCATCCACATTGATCACCAGCTTCCCGTCTTCCCCATATTTAACGTCTCCAAACAAGGAAACAAGGAGTGCATCAACGATTTTTTCAGCTTTCTTTGTGTCTTCTTCCTTGTTTACTACGGGTTCGGAATCAACCACCAACTTAGGCATCTCCCTACTGACGTTTAAAACCAAAGCCACAATGGAGTCGGATACCATATCACTAATTGGATCCGCTGTCCAATGCACGGAAAGATGATTTTCAGATTCCTGCTTCACTGTGACCTGACCGTGCACTAGCAAAGTGGGAACCCCTGATTCCTCGTCCGTTGATGACTCCACACTTTCATATATCTGCTTAAGCCTGTATTTTATAACAGCAAGAGCGCCGGAGTACGGGATAGTAATCCTTTGAATAATATTCCCAGTCGATAGCTGAGAGAAGACATGAAGATCCTCAGGTGCCATAATCTGATAGGTGAAGCCCTTTTTAACAAGTAAACCACTCACAGTTTCACCAGCTGAAGGCCTTTTTTCAGCCAGCTTTCCAATAGTTTTTGCCATTTTCTGCGAGTTGAAGTACATTTCTACAGATTGGCAGTTCTTCGGGGTTATGATTTTGGTGTTGCCATCAGCAAAGACAGAAAGGAGCTTCTGTTTGAGCCTTCCCATCTCATTCGCTTCACCATGAACCAGAATGATGTTCGGAGGCATTAGCTCTTTCAGGAAAGTGCTCGTTTGAGCGTAGTCTGCATGAGCCGAAAAGGAAATATAATGGACCTGCATATTCAGGGAAGCAGTCAAGCCATTCATGAGGGTAACTTCTTTAGGTTCATTAATAATAGTCTTAGCCAATGTCCCTTCCACAACATACCCAGGTAGGACACAAGCATTTTTCCTGTCTGAGCACCATTTATCAAACAGCTGTCTCGACAGACCACTCTGTAGTCCACCAGGGGTTGCCATAACCACACATGGACCTGTGTCGTTAAATTCATCAATACTTTTCAATGGAAAGATGTGCTTGAAATCAAAGGGGTTTGAACTGGCAAATTGATTCCGGATCTTCTCATTCATGGCATTAGTGTAAGTTTGATAAACAGCCATGCACCTTTTTGCAAGTGGCGAAGCATAATATATAGGGACTTTGTGAAGATCAGGATGACTTGACCAGTATTCATCCAGGATCAGGAGAAGTTCTTGTGCACGGCCTAGGGCAAAAGCAGGAATTAGAACACGACCACCTTGAGTAACCGTAGAGTGAATGACATCAGTAAAGCGCTTCTCGCGTATATGCCGTGGCTCGTGGAGTTGAACACCGTAAGTTGATTCAATAATGCAAATGTCCGGGGAGAACTGGGGGATCTCAGCAGCACGAAGGTGACGATCTTCTTCTCGCGAATAATCTCCAGTGTAGAGAACACGAACACCAGCAATGTCAACCATAAACATGGCAGCACCAAGGACATGACCAGCAGTATAACACCAAAAGCGGATACCATTAACTTCTACAGTCTGATGAAAATCAATAACCTGTAACAAGGAATTAGTAAATGTCAGACAAATATCAGACAGCTTAAGTTGTACAGTAATAAAAAATGTCCAAATTTCAAACAGTTGTGAAAATGACAAATGGCCACACATGAAGGATATCAAATACGACACCTCAATTTTATCCATGGACCGAAGAATGTCTTGTTCATCAAACAACATATCATCAACTGAGACCTTGCTCACTTTAACATAATCTGATAACAGCAGCTTGTAGATTGCTTTTGTTGCATGTGTCATAAAAACTCGTCCTTTGAATGTGGTCTGTTGAGCAAAAGAAGTGAAAATTTCAGTAAAGAAAATTGCAAATTATGGCTGAAAGAAAATTCTAAATGAAGCAAACCAACCTTCTCCAGAAAATAGGGAAGGGAAGCAGCATGGTCCAAGTGAAAGCTGCACTCAGAAAGCAACTTATCAGAATAGAATACGAAACAAATTCAGAGAAGAAAAAGAATCACAAATGTTAGAAATAGCATACTGAACAGTTAGAAACTCGTTATTATAACTTTAGATGTAAACAGAAAAGTTACAATTGCAGCTGAATATTTTAGGTTTACAAGTACAGAAAAAGTAGGGTCCACAGTCACATTACAAACACATCAAGGTTGACCTTTTACGATGGACGCAAATGAGTAATTTGGTGCAGCTAAAACTAAAAACAACTGATCGGTCTAAGACTGGTGTGCTTAGATAAGCCATCATCTTGCGTCGTGTTAAAGGTAAAATCTCACATCGATTAAAATGGAAATATTAACCAACATATAAGCTCTTGGGTTACTCTTGTTAACAAGGTTAAACTTTGAGATGGAATAGTAAGTCTCAATAGATACAATAGAAAAACATGAAGGAAGAGCATACTGAGTAATAAGAAGAACATCAATGAGTGAAGGGTCGATTTCATCAAAGTAAGGCAATGCAGACATTCCTGAGAAACCTGGATGAATACCGCAGTCAAACTACCATTAAACAAAAAGAAATATAATTAGCAAATAAAAATTAGAATTGAGAAGTCAAAGAAAAAACAAATAAAACAGCATCAATTCCATAGTCCTTGTACCATAACAACTTTCCCCTTGTAAGACATGTGAACACAGGATCGTCCCACTTCACTACCAGCCCCCAAAGGTGTTATAATAAGCTGATCCTCATCTCTCATTGCAGATCGCTTTAAGGATGATGCTGGTTGTCCTGTTGAAGCCATTGCACTTGACAACCCAATACCAAACTTCTTTTATCAAATAATTATACTCCCTGCACAGAGAGAGAAGAAACAAATGCCCAAAAACTCATTAGCCAGATCTAAAGCTACAGTTAAAGCTTCAACAATTTTAAAGTTCAACCAAGATTGAAGAAACATAAGGAGAATGCCAAAAAAATAATCATCAATTGCAGAATAGCAATCCTTTCTTTCAATTCTTAAACTGTATTATCCTTTATATTTTTTTATCTATCACATTCATGGAAGTGAAATTTCCAAATCAAGATTGAAAAGGAATCTGAGAGAAAATGCCAAACTCCAAAGGGTAAAAGGAAGGTCCCAGCTGAAAAAAGAATAAACTCTAAACTGAATTTTAATGGCTTACTAAATAGCCAAAAACTAATAATTAACTGAGTAACCTCAAACTCAAACATATTTAAAAACTTTCAGCCCTTCAAATTTTGATATCTTCCTTTCTTTCTCAGAAAACATGCAAACCCATTGCTAGAATTAATCAAGGGAATCAAACAGGGGCGGAGCCAGGATTTTATTACGGTGGGGCCAAACTTTGAAACAAAAATGCTTAATTTTATATTAACTTCTCTGCAAGATTACTATGTATAAGTTGTAGTACTTTGCTCTTTCCTCATACTCAAGTTGAATTGTCATATAGTTCAATAATTTCACATATTTTTTGCTTCTAACCAATATACAGTAAATGATTATTTTAGCCAATACAATTATTATCTCAAACAACAAACTTTTGTAATCTTCTATCTTGACGATCAAAACAAGTAGTGCTTGTCAAAATTAAAATGAAATTACACAAATTCATATTAAAAATCAAATGAAGTGACAAAAATGGAGGTTTGGTACTTTGTACAGGTGAAGAGGAGAGATTTGGGAATCAAATTTCAGATTATGGGGAGAGAAAGGAGGGTGGCGCATAATACAACTAAAATGTAATTGGGCTGGTTTGACTTTTGTTATGGTATAACTGAATGGCAACTTCCTTTTCTTTCCTAAACCCGATGCGTATTTGGGCACGGGTGGGTATAGGGGATTAATGTACATTATTTCTCTTCCCAAAGTCCAGTGAGGGCAATTGCCAAGAGTTCGATTGAAGAAACTAAAATTAAAAGCCCAGTTTAAAAATTGGCAACAACTAATTCAAAACTTTCACTGCTGTTTCTCGAATGAGAACGATATTAACATATTTCAGTCCTCCGGATATGTTTTTACAGAAATCCATGAAGTTACAACCCTAAATCCCATTTCATAGCACAAAAAAGAAATAATAGAACAAATATTGATCTCAAAAGCTAAAACTTATGGTGTAACATGCACATGAAATTTTTCCACGCTACGCTCAGTAAGACATTCATATTTGTGCAGTCATGATTTACTGTTAAAAATGAAAATTAACAAAAATGAAAAATGTGATGGGAATGTCTATGGTTGTGTACATCCAGGGGTGACCTAGGGAGCTGAAATGTAAAAGAAATCAATGTATGAACTAAATTCACGTAACACAGACAGAAAAATATGAAATTATCTACTGATGGTGCAGTATGTGTATATATATATATATATCTCTTTTTTTTTTTTTTTTGAAGAGCTTAAACTTGTAAAAAAAAATGGATTAATAAATTATAATAGTACTAAAGTAGTAGAGTAGTGGGATACAGAAATAATAGTAAAAGAAATCTGGGACCAGAAAGGAAAAATGCCCAAATATTCTCTTTAGTATGTAAAAATTTCTCAGCGTTTGTCAGGGATCTGATTAATACTTGAAATGTGAAATGATATGATAAGCAAGGATAGAATAATATTTAAAACATAAAGGAATGCAACCAAGTGAGATAAAAATTGTTATCATAAATAAAAATTCTACAAGAGTGCACAAATGCAAGAAGAAATGCATTTCAGAGGGCAGAAACCAAATATCCAGAAAATAATTTTTTTGAGAGAGCCAATAGAATCTCAATCTAACACTAGAACAAGAATTAGAAATACAGAGGGGACTTAACCATAACCAAGAAAAGCATTGAAAAGTGAAAACTGTTCGGCCAAACATCACTCAGAATTCTATTAGTGCAACTCTAAACAACAAGAGATGTTACCATGAGAGAGAGAGTAAGAGAAATTATAAATTTCAAGCAAAGAAAATTGGCGACAATTCCTGAAAAATTCGAGTCAAAGAAGAAATTAAAAATGCTCTTCTTTAGTTAAAAAAAAAAAAAAAAAGAGCACTGGACAGTCCCCGAAACATATATTGTAGTTGGAGTGATAATTTCCTAGTGTAAGATTCATAAAAAAATAAATGGCAGAATGCTTGGTGTGTAATGCAGTGCATCCTTTCTTACGCATTATGCATTCTCTTTCATTCTTATTTAGGGGGTGTTTGTTTTTTATTTGAGAATTGAAATCAATTATCATTTTCAACCACGCATTCTTCAATAAAATAATATTTTTCATCACATCAATAATTTTTTCTTCTTTTTCAACCGCACATTTCCATCATATCACTATTCAAAATCAATTCTTCCCCCAAAAATCCCTACCAAACAAGCACTTAAAAAGAAAATGAAAAGAAAAGAAAGTAGGCTTACAACACTGTTGTAAACCTACCAATGGTATCCCGAAGTAACCATCCTAAAATTTACATCAAAAGGAAGCCAAAAAGCACTACTTTATTCCAAAATTGAGTTGGGATATACTGATGTCCAAAGATCCTGGCATTTCTTTATTAATAAATGCTCCAAGTAATCACCATCAATGCAATGCTCTGTCATATCTTATAACCATCAACTTCATTATAGAACTCTCAGAACTAGCAGAAACATCTTATGCTCCAACGAGGAGGGAGAATGTCTCACCGAAGAATGAAACAATATTTTCAAAGTTTCTCTGCCACGTCAGATTGCCAAATAAATCCCTTGTATAGTTTTATTCAATCCAGCTCATATTCTACTCTAAACTAATTGTATACTAAACCCTAATAACCTAATTTTCAAGTACGTGAAAATATCATAAGATCAAATCCCTTACCCAAAGAATAAAATACACAAAAGGAAGAAATTATACCAAACGCTATAAATAATGGAATACGCCAATAAAATCCCACAAAAAATCAAGGAGAATTTTGCATAGTTCAAAACTTGAAGGAACAAAACATTTTAAAGTTCCGTCATTCATACTTACTGAATTGCAATTGATTCGCCTCAAATGTTGCGGCTGGAGCCTGGAAGCAGAAAGAAACTGGGGTTCAGCGTAGAGTGGGAGAGGAGAAGTCCGGGGGCGGGAACGAGCCACGAGGGAGCGGCGAAGAATTGTGAGTGTGAGCACGGTGATTCGGGTTTAATTTGGGTTTGGCCCATATTCGTTGGGCCATAGACAATTGGCCTATGGACTTTTCAACTAGACTGGGCTACGCGCTTCTCTGCGAGAGTGTGGTCAAGTGGCTTATGGGCCTTTTTTTTTATTTTTTTGAAGAAAGAACGTAGAATGCATAACGTGGAAATTACATAATTTCAGGTGTTTAAAAATTAATTTTCAATAATAAAATTTAAAATTTACTTATTCAAAAATCAAGTAATAATTTTATATTTTATGCATATAATAATACTAATAAATTAAATTTTCCACACAATTAAAACCTTAATTTATTTTAACAATCATCTTCCCCTCCTCTCTCACTCTCGTCACTCTCTCTCTATCCTCTCCCTAATTCGAAACCTTAAATCGAGATTAATCCCCAATCTTTCGCTCTTCCTCTTTATCACACACATCACCAGAGCAACGCTGACGTGGCGTCAATGAGAGGCGTGATGCCGTTCAGGGCGACCCACTCTTGGCATTGTTGCGAAATGGCGACTCCAGAGTTATGCCGGCGTGGTTTGTGTTGATATTGATGGTCATGTAAAGATGGTGGCGTCGCGCCTTGCGACGTTCTGTACCAAGGAAGCATCGGAGCCTATGCGCGTTGGTGGTCTCTATCTTCAAGCACGATGGTGCTCTGTTCATCGCTGCACGCGGAGCTTAGAGCGCCGCCCAATTTTGATCTGAGTCGATTACGACAAGATCAAGGAGATTTGTTGGTGGTGATGTCTGTGGTGGTGGTGTTGGAGGCGACGGGGTTGGAGATGGTGGTGGGTTTATGGTGGGTGGTGGTTGTGGAGTGATGCGGGGTGGTGTGGTGTGGTGTTGTGTCTTTGTTGTTAGCGGGGACGAGGATGGAGGTGATGGTGGTGATGGGATTTTTTTGTTGGATTTGGTGGTAACGGTTTTGTTGGTGGTGGTGCTGTTGTGGGGCGACGGTGGTTATGGGGTTGGCAATAGATCTGGTGGCGACGATGGGGTGGTGGTTGTTGGTGACTAGAGATCCGATAGAGTTGATTGTCATGATTTTTGTTAGAACTTGATTGGATCTCGTTGCGGCAATTTTGTTGGTGGTGGTGGTGCTGTTGTGGCGGCGACGGCAGTGTAGGTGGTAGTCGTATGTGACCCACAATTTGACCTGTGACCAACTGTTGAACTGTGACCTTAAAAATCGATAATTTGTGATCAACAAATTTGAAAACATGTGACTGATTAATAAACTGCTACCTATAATTTTTTTATTTGTGATCAATAAAATAAACTGTGACCTTAAAATTCGATAATTTGTCACCAACGAATTTGAAAATATGTGGTTGATTGATAAATTGTGATCTATAATTTTTTATTTGTGACCAATAAAATAAAATGTAACCTATAATTTTTTTGATTTGTGACCTCGAATTAATTTGATAATACATGATCAATAAATAACTTGTGCTTATGATTATGTCTTTGTGACCATCAATTGTATAATTATGATTTTATTATATTTAATTAATAAATAAATACTTGATTTTTGCATTAATTAAACTTAAAACCTGATTTTTGAATTGTGCATAGTTAATGTCTTAATTGTAAATTTTTATCATACATAATTACCTATATTTAACTATACATTTTCA